CCCCAAAACCCCAAAACCCCATAAGAATAGATTATTAAGCATAACGGGAATAATATAATTGTTTTATAAATAATGGAAAGTTTGAAAGATTTTAAGATTTTAGATTAAATTTTTCCATAAACAATTTGAGATTATGAATATGCTGAAACCCTTTCTGTTGGAAAAATTACAATGGCAGCCAAATATTATAATTTAAAAGAAAAGTAATTTTATGTCATAAAACTAGAACCTGTGGATTCTACTTATAACTCACTACTAAAAGAAAGAATGTTTTTGCAGTAATTCGGAGGAATAAATCATTAATATGAACTTTTTATACCTAAGATTTACAAAAATGGCACTACATAGAATAACAATGGCTAAAGTTACTACTATTAAGTAATGGACTATTATCAATACTCTTTAGTAGATTACTTTGAACATTGGGTAAAAAATAAATAAGACTATGATCTTTACATAAGCTAATTGAGAGTTTTTATTGAAAAAATACTAACCTGCTTGCTTTAATTTCACTCTACAGATAGGATTCATTGAGATATAAGAGCAGAAAATATGAGAGCAGGGTAAAGTTAAGAAATATAAGAGGATTTACCCATTGATTATAATATATATTTGATAAGTTTTGGTGTATCCATTTAGTGCTCATAAATTGACACAAATGTATTGAGTAATAAACTTATCGGGAGCCCTTTGACAGCTTCTATTTTCATTCATCAAGGTCTTTATTACACTTAATATGATGACTTAATATCAGCATTATACACTGTACTATTTTTGATTTAGAGCGATAACTAAAATATTCAAAATATTGTAGAATTTTCCAAAGCAATTTAATCTTAGATTAATTTGGATGATCTCAGATAACTGAAAATGTAATTGAGTCCTGAATCATTTGGATTGACTATTGCCAAGAATATCATTATTTTGATTTAAGAAATAGAAAATCATATAAAAGATAATAGACCTGTAATTAATACTGATTATATAGATAAAGAAAAGCTATTAAATAAAATATTTTAGGAGGAAGAATTCCCTAAAATAAGAGAATAGAATAAATAATTGAGCCTTTTAGCTAGGTTTTTTAGAAAATTCTTAGGAAGAAGAAATATCTGAAGTCAAGGAAAATTATACAATTGTAGAGCTTAAACACAGGCAAGAAAGTTATTAGAGAAGATGCATGATATTGTGATAGATTTAAAAGAACTCTTGATGGAAAAGAGCCCCTTAATGAAAAGCTTTGATCACTGCAAGAGTGCCTAATAACTAATTGTCGAAGGTAAAATAAATGAGCTATCTCAGGTAGAGGGTACAAGTCCTAGTGTTGTGACAAGACATAATAATGGAGAAGATAACAACAGATCTGATTGACAATCAATCTTCTATTTTGAATAGTTAATAATGATACTCATTGTCAAATAAATTTTTTCATTTCATGATTTAATTTACAGAATTTTAATATAATATCCTTTGATTCTAGTTAAAGGGGTTTTGGGGTTTTGGGGTTTTGGGGTTTTGGGG